GGCTCTCTCGCTATGTCTGGCGAGGGCACGCGCCCTATAGCGAAAACCTCTAAAGAAAAAAAAAATATGTAATTGTAATTTATTAGATGGGTATATCGTTAAGATTGCGTTAATTCTGTATTTTACTCCTGACTAATTTTATATTGCTGATAAAGCATCTGCTGTGTTTATCTTGTAGATATTTTACGTGAAGCTAGGAAATAAAAGTCCCAACTAGTTCGAAATAAAAGTCCCAACCAGTTCGTCATACGCATTTTTAAGCTAATGAGATGAAGACTTTGTTTGCCTGTAGCAATTTCGAGTGTATCATTGTGTTTCATAGTGTTTCATCACTGCATTATGCTTGCATTTGTTGAAGTTTTCTGTTCTGTTCAGGTCTAAGTAGGAAGCCTAATTAGTGTACATGTGCATTTTTGTGCTTATTATTCATGGTTATGTCATAAAGATGCCTTTCCTTTGGATAAGATAATGATTGGTGCTCTTATTGAAAGTCTGTATAGGGTGAGGCACTTTTCAGACAATTCAGAATTTAATTTAAACCTTGCAAAAACCTTATCAAATAATCATTATTATTCCCATTTTACCGAGAATGTTGAAATTTTTCTTTTTTTGGAGAGGTTTTTGCTATAGGGTGCCTGCACTTGCCAGAAAGACAGAGAGAGACAGAGATACAGAAAGTGAGAAATCACCCCCCTGGGGGGGGATGGCCACGCCCCAATCCCTTCTCCTTCATTCTCCTCTTGGGATTTTGGGCACACACGCACATGTGCCCAGCGTGAGTTTAAGCACCGGGTCCAGGACTCGAACTGCTGTTGACTACATGGGAGTTTAGCAACATAGCCATTACGCTAATTGCTGGTCCTGAGGATGTTGACATTTTTAAAAGTTAATGATATTGCTTATGGTAGAGTGAGCCTGTTAGTGGGAGTTAATGGAATTTGAACTCAAATCTGACTCCAGAACTCGTATTATTTCACTCTGCTCTATTTTTTCTCATAATATGTCAGTTGTATGGATTATACAAGTCATAAAAATTAATCTTCTTTTCAGCAAACCTAATGCGTGAAAATATGAGTTAACCAATAGACCAATGTGGGATATTCTTTACTCTGGTGAGATGGGTGATTCACTTTATACTATTTAAATGACACGGCACTAAAATTATTACTTGCTTTTCTAGAATTCTCTTTTTTGTTACTCAACATTTTAGTAATACCATTGTGAGGCAAATCTATATTTTTGGTTTCCATATTCATTACCTTCTTTGTGGATGCCTATTTTTTGCCAGGTTCTAGTGTTAGAGATTATAAATGTCTGTAAAGCCAGACATGTGGTACCCGCAGCCACTGGAACCTGGTACAAGGGGTCTTCAAAAAGATCATGGAAAATGTGCAGTATGAAAAACTATGCATGATTTCCATTTTTTTGCACCAAAATAAACTAATACTTTATTTGCATATTTTTCACAGTCTTTTATAGTCACTCCTAGATTTCAAATTTTGGTTCCACCTCTTAACTGTATAATCTTAACCTTTTAAGTGTCTATTTCTTCATCTGTAGGAAGGAAAGAATAGTACTTAACAGATGTTTGAAGATGGAGATAATGAACGTTCATATCGTGGTATCTGGCACATGGATGTTATCGTATTATCACCTTAAAAGCAGTGTTAATATAAGTATTTTTCTTTTAAAAGGAAAACTGAACAACTTATTCAGTATTGTCTTTGGTCTGAGATGGTTGTCAGCTTCCTTGTATTATTTGAAAAATCTGTGGTTTTTTTTCCCTGCACAGTGCCATATACATTTTAGAAGTCTACTACTAAAAGCTGAAAACTATGCTTTTGTTTCTTTTATTTTAAAAGTGGTAGAATCACCATATGGGATAATTACAGAAACAAGGGAATATGTTTGACTCATGACAACTAAAGTAATCAACTTTAAATCAACTTTTTAGTTTATTTGTTTGTTCCTCTGTGAGAGAGAAAGAGTGCTCCCCACTAGGGTCTTTTTTTTTTTTTTGACAGGTTTTTGCGATAGGGCATGTGCGCTCGCCAGACAGGCAAGAGAGAGACATAGAGACAGAAAGCGAGAAGTCACCCCCCAGGGGGGATGGTCACGCTGCAATCCCTTCTCCTCCATTCTCCTCTCGGGATCTTGGGCATGCACACACACGCACCTGGCGTGAGTTTTAAGCCACCAGGTCCAGGACGCGAACCGCGGTAGACTACATGAGAGTCCAGCGACATAGCCATTATGCTAACTGCTGGTTCCCCCCACTAGGGTCTTGATGCTGTGATCCATCACCTGTGCTCAGTCAAGCCCACATCATGGGCAGGTGCTTGCTCAGTGTCTTCCAGATCTTTGGCCGTGAACTGTGAATCTTCTGCGGCGGAGCGCGTCTGACCATTATGTGGGCAAGAGCGTCTCCTTTAACCACTGCGCCACTGTCCAGCCCCTACCTTACTTTTAAGAAAGAAAGTTAAAAAGAGCCTTTTGTGATTTTGTTCTTTGGGAGAGAATGAGGAAAGATTTGAGAAGTTCTTTAGTGACCAGAAACACAAACGCGAAAGTTTCATTCTGACTTATATCGACATTTTATGTGCTTTGAGTTTCTTAATGGAAGGTATTTCTAAATATTTTTAGAAAATACTAAATTTAAAACTAAATACTTTCTAGCATCTATAGTATGGTATTTAAGGCACTTTGATATGGAAATGCAAGTGCAAGTAATTTTGAATGAAAAAAGGTACATTTATAAAAAACTACAAGGGTGATCTAGTGAAATTTTCCTCTAGATTATTGTTTTAGATTATTATGATCTATGAGAGGCTTGAGGCATTAAATCTATATAGATAGGGGTTTTTTTAAGAGGTGCTACATAGAAATAAATATATCTTTATTTAGATAAATTTATGTCTCATTATAGCCGTGAAATTCTCTGAACTGATGCATAATTCATAGTTGTAAATACTTCTGAGGAAATTTTTTGAGCTATTTCTCTTATAAGAAGATATGTCAGTGCTGCTTTTATTATCTATAGTAAAGGCTTGTTAGAGGAAATCTTGCTTTGACATTAAATCACTGTGTTTTTTTTTTTCATTACTAAGCTCCAAATGCCAAGATATAATCAACTCGTAAATTGAAGAGGCATATAAGCAGTTCAATCTTAGCGACTATTGAAGTAAATTTCACCATTTTTGTCTTTATTTTCCTAGTTCCTTTCAGTTCTGATTAAGCCATTTTAAACTATTGTAATAGATAACTTGATGTTTTAGTAAAAACATTTCATAGTATACTTAAAAGAAGATTCTGTAGTTGGTGTGTGGAGTTTGTTGTTTCAATATAAATTTTTGTATAACAGATTTTGAAAGATTTCTTTTAGCATATACAGCCAACTTTCACATTATCTTAGTTGTTATAGCTGGAAGTCAGTTACAGTTCTGGCAATGAGTATTAGCTTTACTCAGTTACTGTAAGTTGGTAATCCAACTTTTGACATACATGCTAATTTAGCTGTAACCTCAGTCAGGATTTTCAGAAAGCTTTCGGTGAAGTTTGTTAAAATTAAGATTTAGTCACCGGATTTAATGGTTTAATTGTAAAGGAGTACATTAAATATGTAACATGTTATTAGAAGCCAAAACATAAATGGTATTGAAATGATTTACTACCTTCTTTTATGGGGGGAAAATTGAACTGACACTTAAAGTTTGCAGATTACTTCATTCAAGCAGACATATGTAAAACTTAATTTTTCAAAATAATTTCTTGTTTAGCACGAAGTAGTGAACCAACTCAGAGTCTGAGGTTTAGCATCAGATAGCGAAAAGAATCAATACAGTCCTTTCATAGTAATATTTAATGATGTTCATTTAACATTTTTGAGCTTGAAAAATGAGCAGAAATTTAGATGATTCTTAAAACGCACTCCTTCATTATTCCATACCACATACTAAGTTCTCCATGCTGTGTTGGAGCTTCCCTGGCAAAGAAACGAATTTGCTGATTTTTGTCACTTGCAAGACCAGCCAGGGTCACTGTAGCCTGCATTTGACTACAACAGTGCATAATATTGTGCAAAATCATCAAGTGGTACTGTTTATTTTTAAAGTAACACATGTAACTTTTTATTATAATTATTAATACAAGCAAAGGAACTACCAGTACTTTTATTTTTATTGTCATTAAACAGTTTTCTAGGAATTTTCAGCAAAATATCAATTCAGCTTTAATTCCACTATGAAATACAGAAATCGTGAATAAGCTTGTGGTGCCTGCTATTAAAAATCAAATCAGTAGCTTTAATACCTTCTTACAGTCTCATTTTGTTTCACTATAGATCTGTTTTAGATAGGTCGGTACCTCTCTTTTGCTCTCAGTGGTTAATTTTACCGGTTCAGTTTCTTTGTAGATTTTGCCGTAAGTAGAAAGGATTTTAAATCTCACAGACCCTTAAGATATTTTATTACCACTTACTTAAATGAACAGTAGATAATGTACATGCTTGTATTTTGTGCAAGTACCCAAGACATTCTGATTGAAAGACAGCTTAAGGAAAAATAAACAAGTAGCAAAAGCATTCAGTCTTTATTTACAGTACATAGGAGGTTACTGTTTCCATTTTAGGTGGAAGAGTCAGATTAGCAGGAACACCCCAGAGAAGGACATCTTTAGCAATGGAATTTACATACCGTTAGCTCACAGTAATTGATAAGCAGCAGGACTCTGTAGTTCAGAGCTAGCTGAGCACATTATTTGGGGTGCCTTTGATGCTGTGGTTTTCCAAAGCTTGCCGGCTGCATGCTTGTTGCCTTTGTTTGTGGCACAGGTAATTACTTGATAAAATGAAGTGCATCACTGTGAACAATTGACCCCTTGGAACAGTCCAGGCTGGTCAGCAGTCGAAAACCACACTTTAAAGCCATCATGATAGCCTCAAACTTAAGAGTTTCCAAGGTACAGACAAAGGTGTTATCTTCCTTCAGTACAAGTCGAGTGCCATTTTCAGACTTTATGAAGTATTTAAACTGAATGATATTCGATGATATCGAAAACTCCTCTGGAAATCCATCCAGCCTGCTTTTGGACACCAGCACAATGCGAGATTTTATTTTTGCTATGAAATCAGGAGCATTACAGAAGATTCTCAGTCCTTGTGAGCGATCGTGGTTATCTGTTATTTCCAAGAAAGTAGTCTCTCTGGGGGTTAGCTGTTCTTTTTCCCACCTGGATTTCACTTCCTCTGCCAGTCCCTTGAGCTGAAAGAATTCTGCTTCTTGTGCAAGAAGTTGATTCTCTCGAAACCCCTCAGGCAAGAGAAGTTCTCCATTTCGCAGGAAGTTTAGGACGTGTCTGAAGAGGAGCCCATCCCGGTCTATGAAATAATGACCATCTGCATCAAACGGGCAGAGGATTTTTCCATTTACTATACCTTCAAGAAAGGTGTCTGGGTACTTGGTCAGTGTTTGTTTTTGAGTAATGTATAAATATCCACCAACGTTGAGGGTCATCAGTGTGGATTTGCAGTTCTTTCCTTGGTCAGTATCTTCCAGGTTGTTGTGTTTCCCTTCATACTCCTTTTCTTTTTCTCTTCTGTTTATTTTACGCTCCATTTTTGAAGAAGCTATTTCAGCTTGTTCTTCTCGGCTTTCAGATTTTTTAAAAAAGAAACACTACCACACAAACACGCCTTTATTCAGCCCCAGCCTGGTGATGGAATGGAAATGCTGGCAGCATCGCCTGGGCTGTCAGCTCGGTTTTGCAGTAGGTGGCGTATCAGCTATGCATGCGGGAGCTTCCTGGAGTAAGACGGAGAGGAGAATTTGCATTTAACTGTATCAGGGAAAGGATTTTTTGTGTAAGGATTTTCATGTACATTCTTTGATAAGAGTTACTTAGAAAACATAGACTGTCCTCTCACTAAACAGTTATAGATGTTTAATTCTCCAGCCAAATGTGAATTTTTATCTATTTCTAAATGTCTTTTTTGTTATTTCTTTTAATTAGGCAGACTTAATCTTAAAGAACTCATCCTTTGGAAAATAGCATCTATTGTATTAGTATCATTTTCAAAAGCAAATCAGTAATAGAAAACCTGAGGGGAAAGGAAAGCTATATAGGATTTTCTCTCCCATAAAAAGTTTTACAGTGGTACAGTCATTTTTGAGACCCAAATAAGAATATTTAGACTTATTATTTGTGACGTTGTATTTGAATTTAATTGGAGTTGAGTGATTCTGAATTAGGGATCTTTGCTAAGTGAGAAGAAATTTTCCTAACATCCTGTAACAAGAGGTTCTTTTATTTTTTTATCCTATAGGTAAAATGTAGAAAAGACAAGTTTTGCAGTCATTGTTTACTTTTTTTTGTTAAGATTTCCAGTGGAAAATTTATAAGCTTGCACTATGAATCTGTTTGCTGAACAAAGACTTGGACTACTGTAGAAAAAACTGTAACTGTGTGTGTACACATGTATTGGGAAGATAGGAGAAGGATGGAGATTTAAAACATACTTACCATCAAACCTTGTTATGAGTTAGTTTTTGTTTCTTTTTTGTTTCACAGATGGTGAAAGAAATAGCTAAAGCCTAAGCCTTTAAAAAAAAAAAAATTGGGAGTTGGAACAATGTTGGTGTGTTGTAACCCCCTCTTTTTCCCTCCTACCTCTTTACTTACTTTCCAAAGCCTTTCTCTTACAGAATTTAAAAAGCCCAGCAATAGGAAACATGAACATTGTCCCCAGTACACTATCATTTTATCTGTGTATCTGCTAAATTATTCTGAGGAACTACATGGTTCTTAGAATTAGACTTCAAATGTTATATTAAATTGATTTATATTTCTGTTGCACTAAAGGTACTTTTAAATAGTTAGCTGTATGTCGTAGAAATATTGGAACAGATTCTTCTAAAAGAATTCATCTGCTTTTTATTTTCTATAAACAGTGTTAGATTTTTGTCAGATATAAAAAAATCATTGGGTCATTGGAAAAACTATGACATATTTTTCTGTGTTTTTCTATGCATAAATGTGACAGGACTTTTCTGACAACTTTATATATTCTTCTTTACAGCTGATTTTGAACCTAGCATTTGTATACCAAGAAATTATCAAAAGTCCATTCAATTGCACTGCAAAACTTCAGCTTTGCACTTTTAGAGCTGAGTTTTTATTTATAGGACATGAAATTATACTTCTTCATTTTACCAAAGATAAATGATGCATTTCAGAGAATTTTTAATATTTTATCTAGGAGTTTATAGCTTGTTAATGGCAAAGCCATCACTTCAGATTAAAATTTCCTCTCAGTCCTTCAGTACTTAAAGAGAATTTACTCTTATATTTTGACAATCTCATGTATTTATTGATTTTATTTTTTTTAGAATCAACTCTTTCCTATGCACATGACTTTTTAAGAAGTAATGAATAAGTTTTTGAGAAAAAAAGTACAACTTTGGAAATGCATTTATGGAATTCTTATGTTACCATTACAAAGGGTTTCTGAGTTACATCATATTGTGTAATAGCAAAATCAACAAAGACACAATAATTTCACTTACAGGTACAGTCCCTTTTTTGTGATATTTACCATATACCAGACTTGTATACCAAACGTAGTATACTGATGGAGACTGCTAGACTTGTCTCGTTTACTTAGATAAAGCAATATCGTTGATTAGAACTATGAGACGCTGGGTCTCTTTCTTTCCACAGTTTTACTGCCTTCATGGAGAAGCCCTGATGCTCTTACAGGGTGGGTTTCTCTGGGGGTGGCATGGGGTTAGGAGGTGAGGCAAGACTGCTGGAAGTCAGACCCCCGCCCTTCCGTCATTGTTCCACACTGCATTCTGTTTGCCAAGTCACTTCTGGTTTCTGCTGCCAGGTTTTCAGAACCACCTATTAGGGCCCTGTGTGTCACAGGAATGCTTTGACAGACTCTAAACTAGTCCATTTTGTGCTTCCAACCATTGACTGCTTTTTCTCTGTAAACATGACGGGTATGATTTGTTTACCCCCGATGGCCTGGCAGCAGTAGTGTGACTGAAGCCTTGTCTGAGTGCCTGACTTGAAGCTGATAGGAATCCATAGGACTTTCATGTGTGTGTACCCTCTTTGCCCCAACTTGTGGTCTTAAACAGAAAAAGAAAAATGTTTCCCAGAAAGTCCCACCTTCTTTTCCTTACTCCACATTACCTCCATTAAAGCAAGGTCATCACAATTCACAGAAATTGCAGCAGTTTGTTGATTGCCGCCTGCTGTGGTACACGTACCCCTTGGAGAAGGCCAGATTGCCGCCTTTTTATTCCATTCTAAGTTTATATTTGCTTGCTGGGGAGTTTGTGTGTTTGTTGATGATTGCTGCCTGCTGTGGTACACGTACCCCTTAGGAGAAGGCCAGATTGCCGCCTTTTTATTCCATTCTAAGTTTATATTTGCTTGCTGGGGAGTTTGTGTGTGTGTGTGTGTGTGTGTGGTGCTGTAGAGTCAGTTAGGTCCACACAGCCCTAAAACTGGAAGTGGTGCTTCAGTACCTATACCAATACCAAGGGAAACATCCCCGGTTTATGTGACTATATTTCACTGCCTCACTGCAGCAGGAGCTGTTGTAGAATTAATCAGTCAGTGGTTTCAGCAGAAGGGCTTAAGCCACACATCAAAGACTAGCTCATCTTGATTCACTTGACAACTGAATTTGAGGATTTTACCTGCTTTTTTAGGGAGAAAGATACAAAATTTTGAAACATCAAAGCCCCGTTTTTCTACTTAGTGCTTTAGCTCTTTACCAGAGTTAGATTGCCTCTGTCTTAGACATCTCTAAGCATGCATAGAAAAGAGCTCTTTAGGCAGCTTTGAAAATTTAAACAGGTCTTTGGTGTGACTCTGTCCTATAGTTAATCGGGCCCAGTGCCTAACCAAATTCTGACAAAGCCTTCCATTGTGAGGTAATGCTAATCTCCTACCCTCTGCATTAGGCAGAACTCCAGACCAATGGAAGGAATCCCATCTTTTCTACCAACTCCTAATAGGCAGTGAAGTTCTGTCGTCACATGAGTAATACAAAACACAGTGATAAACACACGCTCTGTTTATGTGCCAGAGATACCCTCGTGCCATGGAAGGAAATAGAACATTTCTAGGAAGGTACCTTTCCTGGTTGGAAGATACCTGCTTTGGTAATTCCCTTAGCCTAAGCAGGTCACTCTTGCATGAAAGCCATATGCTTTTTCAAGAAAGAGGGATGGCCTTAGAGCTGCTTTGATAAGAACATGCTACTTCCACCTGCACATTCTCCGCCTCTACCACATCTTGGTTGCTTTCACCTGCATGCGTCTGTGCCTGTTTTCTGAAAGCATTAGTTCCCCTTCCCTTGGAAAGAAAGTGGAAGTGACTGTAGCTAAAGAAGCCACTGTCAGTTTTTACTGAAACTGGCACTGTTTCTTTGCCCTGGACTTCTGCACTTATCTCAGGTTTGTGGATCTCTGCTTTGACCTTCCTACCCTTTACACAAGCTGTTTCACGGTTTCAGCATGCAGTTTTCTTCTTCAGAGCTTCCTCTTTTTTTTATTTTTCTTTTTTTTGAGATATTTTTGCTATACGGCGCCTACACTTGCCAGAGAGACAGGAAGCAAGAAATCACCCTCAGGGGGGATGGCCATATGCCACAGTCCCTTCTCCTTCAGTCTCCTCTTGGGATTTTGGGTACACATGCACATGTGCCTGGTGTGAGTTTTAAGCCATCAGGTTCAGGACTCAAACTGTGGTTAACTATGTGGGAGTCCTGTGATGTAACCATTATGCCATCTACTGATCCCCATAGCTTCCTTTTAATAGCATTTAATGTGAGAACCACTCCTTTGATATTCATCTATGACTATTTTACATTAGTCTCTATTGTGTGTTTAAAAAATAAAAATAAATTACACGAAGTAATGCACTGACATATTTTAAGAACCAAGGGACTTTTCGTGTTAATATAATTTTATTTCTATGTCACAACTTCAGTTTCATTTTTAAATATAAAATTCTTCTGCAGTTAATACTGCCTGGGACTGGTGTCATACTGACACATGTACTCGGTCAGCTGCCTTGCGTAACTAATGGACCACAGCATCTCATAAACTGTGTAGGGTGCTTGAACTTCCCTAGGACTCATCAGTTAAAATCTGTGGCTAGAGGTCATGTGAACAGGTCATTTCACTTGGATAAAAACACCTGTGAGTGTTTTGCAGTGTTAAACTGAGTCTTCAAAGAAACCCAGGAAACTTGGCTACATTGACAAAATTTTCAGTCTCGTTTGAGGAGTGTAGAAAAGAATAAAGTACTGTGTGTCAAAAGGAGCACAAATAAAAATGACAGACTAGCTGAGAACTTCAGGTAAAATTCATTCCACGTGTCTTTGCTTTTCACCACGGAGGTAATCTTGACAACAGTGTGCAAATCATATTATTCACATTGAAATGTACTTTGGAAGGTGAGTGTTTTAGGAAACCTATGTTTTATAATTTTATAGATAAAAGTCATACCGTAAGTTTTTCAAAACAATGGTTTTTTTTTTAAGTGTGGCCTACGCATTATTTTTCTCCAGAAAATATTATAACTAGATGAGCAAAGCACTTCGATGAGCCATCAGATGAACTTCGAAATGATGATATTGTACAGAACTCATTTTTATAGTGCTGTTTGGCAAAATGGAATTCTACTGTCTCATTGAGAAGAAAGTATTTTCAGTTAATAGCCATTATCTGCAGTCTCAAAATGAGAGACATGACTTTGAAAACTCTTGTAGAGGTAACATTGTTATGAAATCAGGAACCAAGGAGGGGCTCTAGTCCCGCTTGCTGCCCGCCAGCACCGTTCCTTCTGTAATCCTCTTCACTTTACCTTCCTCTGTGTCTGCAGTGATGAGATGGTGCGGAGGAGACAGAAGGGGCTTGAGCCAAAGGACAGACTGTGATGGCTCCTGGGAACAAATGTGTTTCCTACTCACAGAGTAAAGTAATTGTAAATGGGGGAGAATTCTATCATAGTGCACTTTTTTTCTTTTTTGTATTTAACATTTCTCAAACCAGGGTATGTCTTAAACCCGTTGTCTAAGTTTAATGACAGCATTTTGTCTTTCTTGGTGGTACATAAAATAATGGTGCCTATTACAACTGATGGTATCTTAGAATCAACGGAATAAATTTGAGCGGCTTGAGCTATTCCCTTCATTTCATGAGAAAATAAAAATGACAGGGAGAGGTGATAAATGGGAAGAATAGTGAAAAGAGTAGGGGATAGATAGAGGGGAGAAAGAAAAAGGAAGAAATATGGCCACTGCATTATTTAAATTACCTAGGGAAGCTACACATAGGTATAGAAAAACCACTCCCTTTTCCCCACACAGTGCAGTTAAGGCAATATCTTTGGGAGTGAACCACCATATTAAGGAAATAGTGGTGAGCTCAGAAAAGGGGAATTATCTCAAAGGAATTCTTAATGATGAGTTCATGATTTCTACCTTATAGTTACCAAGATGTCTTAATATTAAACTCCCTTGAAAATCATAAAGAAGTAGGTATGTCGTTACTATTGTTATGGATTGACTATGTTAAGAGATCAAGCGTTACTGAGTGGGAAATGAATCGGACCTGAATTCAGTTGATTTTTAAATATGCGCCATTGGGGTCAACTCTGTGATTTAGTGGTGATATGCTACACTCAAGAGAAGCTGGATCCCACATTGCGACCAGAGTTCAAATTCTCATCTAAATGGACCTGAACATACCAGGCCACACAAATGCCCAAGATCCGATGGGCTACAGGACTGGAGGAAGGGAATTACTGCCCGACCAGACCCTCTGAAGGGGTTCATCTCGCCCTCCCAACTCCTGCATTGCTTGTGTTATATGATGAGTAAAGGGGAAAATATTGGGTTTTCACACAACCTATATTTTTAATTGCCATTATTTCCTGACAACCTATATTTTTTTGCATTGTCATAAGAAGATTGGCATAGCATTCTTAAAAATGTGTCACTGGGTTATCTGTAAGTTTTTCATAAATATTGCGTCCCTCAACTGTGTTGTGGTCTTTATAAATACAGGGGTCAGCATTTTTCGTCCTCGTACCCCTCATCACATCTGCCAGTGCTTGGTACTGTTTGTCTAAAATATAGCAGTATAGTATAAGTCTGTACATGAAGAGACTGAACTTTTCTACAAGAATTTGTTTTCTGTGTGATTAACCACTTTTTCTATTGTTTTTTATTTGTTTCTCATTTAAAATACAGTAGCCAAAGCTTGGTAGCACTCTTTCATAAAGATCTGATTAAAACCGGGACCAGCAGTTAGCGTAATGGCTATGTCGCTGGACTCCCACGTAGTCGACCACGGTTCGAGTCCCGGACCCGGTGGCTTAAACTCACGCCGGGCACGTGTGCGTGTGTGCCCAAGATCCCAGGAGGAGAATGGAGGAGAAGGGATTGCAGCATGGCCATCCCCCCTGGGGGGTGATTTCCTGCTTTCTGTCTCTCTGTCTCTCTCTGTCTGTCTGGCGAGCGCACGCGCCCTATAGCAAAAACCTCTCCAAAAAAAAAAAAAATCTGATTAAAACCAAAACTATTAGAGGGGGCAGCAGATGGAGTAGTGGTTACATTACCAGATTCCCACATGGCCAACCCTGGTTCAAGTCCCGGACTAGGTGGCTTGAAAATCACACTGGGCGCAGGTGCATGAGTGCCCAAGATCCTGGGAGGAGAATAGAAGAGAAAGGATTGTGGCATGGCCTTCCCCCGGGGGGGATGATTTCTCACTTTCCCTCTCACTGTCTCTGTCTCTCTCTGGCAAATCCATGCACCCTAAAGCAAAAACTTCTTTAAAATAGAAAAACAAAAACCGTTAAAATACTATTATTTTCCTTCCCCTTTTATTTAATTATTACAACACAGCATTGATTTCTGTTTTTTAAAAGTATTTTATTTTGGGGTTTTATTCAATCTCTTCTTGAAAGCAACTTTAGGAGTAGGGATTAGGTCTGATGTGTTTATTGTGTCCACATCTGCATCTAAGAAATTTTTATATCAATTTAATTATATATAGCGAAACAAGCAAAGAGAAGACTGTAGTCTGATATATAGGTGGGATGATAACTCATTAATTTTACTTTGCAAACATTAAAATATACAGATGTTTCAAAGCTGTTTACTCACTAGGTTATTTACTTGACCAAGAGTCTGTCACAGCTTCTGTAGACTAATAGGACAATACAGACAATGTCACACGTTTATAGCCTTCGTTTTGCCCCCTTAGCTGACCACTTGTCTTCCTGCTTCTGGGCAGTCAGTCTTGTCATCCACAGATACTCTTTGGTCAGCTCTGCAATATCTATTATATGGGAATGTTCCTATTATCCCTTTTCCCCCCTTGTCTGTAGGGGAAAAATTGAAGAGCAGTATTATGAGTGAGGAAGTTGAGATGCTTTCTAGATCTAAAATCTAGTCCTCAAGTTACGGTTTAAGTATATGAATTAAAATGAAGAATTTCCAGCCCCTTGGGCATATTTGCAATTTGAATATTATTATTAGAAAACATATCAACAGATAATTTCTGAGAATGTTTGTGTGACTGCTTTTTGATTACCTTTGGGGTAAATCATCAAATACTAACTCTGTGGGTTAGTTTACTGGAACTTTTTTTTTTTTTTTTTTAAGGTTTTTGCCATAGGGCACGTGCCCTCTCCAGAGAGAGAATGATAGTGAGAGTTAAGTGAGAAATCACCTCCCCAACCCCTGCAGGGGTTCCAGGACTCAGAACTGTGGTCAGCTATGTGGGGAGTCCTGCACCTTAATCACCACACCACCTGCTGGGCCGCTCAGCATAATCTTTTATTCCTAAAATCCCTGAAGATTACAGAGCTGAATATAAATTCATAAATTTGGATAAAGATAACTTTCTAATAATATAGGGATACAAAGTTTGCTTAATTTCTTATTAAGATGACAAGTATTAATAGTCTTCATCTAAGAACCACAAAACCTCATCTAAGAACCACAAGCAAAAAACTCTGCTAGGAAAATATTTTAAATGAGAAGAAAGGAGAATATAAGGGATATTAAAAGTGGCTTACCTTTCAAATGCAGCTGCTCTGGACAGATATTATTTCTTTCATGCTTTTCCAGAGAGGGTAGACACAGATGTGATGTAAGAATCAAGAGAGTAACTTCAGAAGTCTTGAGGATCAGTCTGAAATCTTTAATCTGAGTTAGAAGCACTCTTAAAGGCCTCCACATTGAACTGAATTCACCAAGGTCCTTGGAAATGAATGCCTTTAACTTCCTGATGCGTGATGACTTCCTAACATACCTGCTCTCATTACTTAGATGCCAATGCTAATAAGCACCCAGGACATCCTGTTCACTAATTATTTTACTTGCTCAAAAATAGGGATGCTCTTAACATGAAAAAAGTACTGATAATCAGTATTCAGTTTTCCCATATAGTGTATCTCAAGTTCCGATTATCAGTCTTCAGTTTTCCCATATAGTGTATCTCAAGTTCAGACATAGTAGGAAGGTTCAGCTTAAAGCAGTTTGTGTATTTTCAGGTCTTGGATACCTTCTTAGCCTTTTGTTTTTGTTGATCAAGAAACATTTTTCTCTCTTATTTCTACTCAAAGAAAGTGTAATTATAACTAGTTCTTTTAAAAAGTATTCGAGGAAACACAATAAACACTAATGAAATAATTTTCAAACATCGTCAGTTAGAGAGGAAGGCCAGTGTGTATAGTTAATGAAACAGGACTAGAAGAGACCAAGCGATTCTGGTAACTTCTGATAGATGCTGAGGCCAAAGATGTGAAGTAACCTCTCTAAGTAACACTGTTTCTTAGTGACAGACCAGAATCCTGCCATTATTTTTACAGATTGTGCTTTGTGTACTTACCCTTTGAAATTACCTCTCCATTTTTTCTGAAACTAGGTGGCAGGAGGACATAAATAAAATGCCATTATCATAGGTGTCTGTTTACTAGGATTCTTTCGATTGCAGGTAGCAGAAACCAGTTAATAGAAAATGTAGTTGAAATGTAGTTTGGGGGATAGGAGAGTATTTAGAAAGGATCCTGGAGTATTTCCCAGAATCCAGAGAAAGTTGATCAGAATGGTCAAGCCTCGGGAAGAGTAAGAACTGAGCACTCACAGCACCTTTGCTAGGATGAGTTTGTGTGCCTTCACAGAGTGCTGACCACATCTTCCCAAGGATTTGTGGTGTAGTCCCTCAGAACAAGTCTCTTTCAAGTACAAGAAAGAGAATGAGAGCAAGCACAGGCTCACACCAAAGGCCATTGCCAAGGCTGCTACACCACCTTCAGTGCCTCTCTTCTCACCCCACCCCCCACGTCTACATGCCACTTCTCACGTCCCATCACAAACATTGCTTTCTCTACAAAAGCCCTTCTTAATTCTCAGCTAGAAATAATCGGTACATGTTTATGCATGTGTGTAATCTTGATACTCGGTGTGTGTCTGTTTCATAACCTGTATTAACACATTCGGCTTTGTACTATAGAATCCCACAGTCCATATGGAAGGACCAGTAGTTGATCATTTAAATTAAAAGATAGGAAATTGTTAAAAAGTGATAACAATAGGAACCAGAAGGTGTCATGGTGATTAAGGTGCTGGATTCCTACATGGCCTACCATGATTCAAGATGCCAGGAACGTGTGTGTGTGTGTGTGTGTGTGTGTGTGTGTGTACCCCCTTGAAATCCTGAAAGGACAGTGGAGGAAAAGGGATTGTGTCATGGCCATCTCCCCGTCCCTCCCAGAGGATTTCTCACTTTCTCTTTTTCTATCTGTCTCTCTCTGGTGAGCACATCCACGCTATAGCAAAAACTTAGAAATGCATTTTTTTCTATCTACCTTAAACTTCTTTTTTCTTATGTGCTCACATTTAGTTACTGATTACATGTAGGACAAGAACTTTGCTTTGAGTATAGGATACTGATTGACCATCTGCTTTCTCTTTCTTGCAAAAATTAGACCCATAATTTAGTTTAGATTTTCAGTTTCTTCAAAAAGAAGCAAGAACTTAGATACTATAAAACAATACAAATGCACAGTCCTAGACTTGTATGCTTTTCCATGTTCTTATTGGCTCACCCATACATAGTTTAACAGTTGCGTTTATATTTATTTCTTTGATAAACCACAGAGACCGTGCCCCAGCAGGATCTTGACCTTTATCTACCCCCAGCTACAGCCAGCCTAGATCATGGGCACATGTGTGTCTGCCGAGTCACCACCCAGCCACCAAACAGTGATTTCTTTTGTTTTAGGCAATTTTCCTTTATATAAAAGTAAGGTCTTAACCAGAGCATTCAACCTGGTTTCCATAGAACCCCTCTGTACACCCCATACTCTTAATTTAATGAGTTTATGTAAGATATAATTAAGTTACATAATTATTAAAACTATTGTAAACAAGTTCTAACATAGTTTGAGCAGAAGTATGTGGGAGTACTAGAGATTAACCTGCTACCCACTAGTGTATGGTGAGCTGTGGGCATCTGTCACTATGTTTAATAGAGAGGAATTAGAGTCTCGATTAACCTAGAAGTGAATAAAGTGGAGGTTTATCAAAAGTGCTTCTATTGTATAAAAATGAGTCAGACACTTGTCTTATCATCTTACTAGACCACCAGTTTTTTAAATGTTCCTGAGGGGAACAGCAGGTGGCATGGAGGTTAAAGTGGCTGATCCCACATAGCTGACTGTGCAATTTGAGTCTTGGACCCAGAGACTTGAAAATCATGCTGGGCATATGTGTGTGTGCCCAACATCCTGAGAGGAGGATGGAGGAGCAGGGATTACAGTGTGGCCATTCCCCCCAGGGAAGTAATTTTCTGACTCTCTCTCTGGAGTGCCTATGTACCCCTGTAGCAAACTTAATAGTGGTGTGGGAACCACTGGATAGAAGCATTCCTCAGTAGAGATTAAAATTATTTTCATAATTGTGACCCAATAAGGCTTTTTGGGTTTTTAAACTGTCATTCTCCAAAAATTTCTTAGTTTCTAATATGGTAGATATGTAGAGTTAAAACTGTATGAAAGACTTTTGGGTTATCCTTTTTTTTTTCTTTAAAGCATGTATTGGTTAGGAGTACACCTGTGCTTGCTGGAGAAGGAGAGGGAGAAAGCACCCTCAGTGGGGCATGATCACACCATGATCCCTTGTCCTCCATCTTGCTGTCCTGTTGGGATTTTGAGCGCTCAAGGATATACACCCAATGTGTTTTCCAAGCTTCCAAGGCTGGGATTGGAACCATGGTTGGTCATAAGGATTCAGCTGCCTTAACCCCAAAAGCCATGAGGTTGGCCAAAAGTAAAAAATAAATTTTTTAAATTGAGAAGTAAAACTTGTATATATTTATGGTATATAGCATAATATTTTGGTATATGTATGCATTATGGAATGGCTAAATTCATACTTTTTAACAATATATACCTGGGCCCCAATGGCCTGATAGTTTAGGTGGCTAGTTTCTACGTGGCCAACTGCTCAGTTCAAGTCTCAGGCCTAATGACTTGAAAAACACACTGGATACATGTGCGTACAAGTCTAAAATTCTGAAAGGAGGGGGACACGAAGGAGCCGGGATTGCAGCATGATGGAGTGGGAGGTGGGAGTGTAGGGGGTAGGAGTGGTGAGGGAGTGATTTCCTTGCTTTCT